TTTTCAAATAATCACTCCGTCTTCCAAGCTGGAATGTGGTGGCACAGTTATGGCTCACTGCAGCCTTGACCTCCCAGGCTCAAGCGATCCTCCCACCTCAGCCCCCTAAGTTACTGGGACTACCAGAACGCAACACCAGGCCTGGTTAATTTTTTATTTTTTGTAGAGATGGGGTCTTGCCATGTTGCCCAGGCTGATGTCAAACTCCTGAGCTCAAATAATCCTCCCACCTCCACCTCTCAAATAGCTGAGATTAAAAGCATGAGCCACTGCACTCAGCCTTGATTTTTTTTGTTTTGTTTTTTTTTTAATTTTAACTATGTAGCATATGTGACAGTCTTTCTAAAGTCTGTCAGTCTTCTTCTGTCAGCACTGCTACCTTGAGCCATGTATGTACTATTTCCCCCATTGGAATATTTTGCTTATCAATCTGAGAAAAGCCTGGGGAGCAATCTGAATGTTCCATCAAAGGAGAGTGGCACATCTAGTCAATGGAATATTAGATAGCCATTAGAGATAATTTATGTCCTTGGACCCAATAGTTCCATTTTTAGGACTTTTATACTATACGAATATAATATGCAAAGATATGTGTGTAACAATGTTCACTGCAAGATTGTAATAGTGAAAAGTTGTGGCAAAGAAAATGTCCATCAGTAAGGAACTTTGAGTCTAAAATAAACAGATGTGTATGGTCTTACATGGAAAGATGTCTACATATTTACCGTGTGCCAGAGTATCATGTGTTCTATTTGTTTTTTAAATAGCTTATTGAAGGATGTTTACATATAGAAAAAGAATGTTTACATATATGAAAAATGTTTACATATAGATAACAGGATTTATCAGTAAGATTCCAGTGAGAGTGGTCCCAAAGAATAATTTAAGTTTATACCTTATGTCTATAGTTTGCATTTTTTAAATTTAATTTTTATTTTGATAACTTTGATTTTTTTATCATTTTTTACAATAAGCAATTATTATTTTTGTAATTAAATTTATAGTCAGGCTGGGTGGTGTGATCCTATAGTCCCAGGTACTTCGGTAGCAGAATCGGGTGAAACACTTGAGCCCATGAGTTCTAGGCCAGCCAAGAGAACATAGTGAGACCCTGTCTCTTTAAAAAAAAAAAAAAAAGTATAGCCACTTATAAGGGGTTTTAACAGCATGAGAAGTACTTTTATTATAATGTGAAGTTCAAAAGTAGGATATAAAGTTTACATATAGTATCACAGCTGATTTTTTTTAAAGTGTACATGGGAAATTAATTTGAAAGACACAGTGATGTTTACAGAAGGTAACTGTGGTTAATGGGAATAAACTTGTTTAATGCCCACCATGAAGGGGCATGGGTGGAGTCCAGGTGAAACCAGAAAGAACTGGCAAAAGTGAAAAGTTCAAAAACTGGAAGTCAAGATAAAGTTTAGTACAAGTTCAGTAAAGCCAGGAGTATAGGTGATTTCTGAGAGAATTAGATATTAAAAGGTCTTTTTCTGGTAAGTTTTTGCTACCAAAATAGAATTAAAACTATTTTTGAGATGTTTTAATTCTCGTGCCAAAAGCTAAAATAAAATGCATTAGGTCAGAGGATTAAACAAGAGTAAATTTTGTAATTTTTTTTTTTTTTTTTTTTTTTTGAGACGGAGTCTCGCTCTGTCTCCCAGGCTGGAGTGCAGTGGTGCGATCTCAGCTCACTGCAAGCTCCGCCTCCCAGGTTCACACCATTCTCCTGCCTCAGCCTCCATAGCTGGGACTACAGGCGCCCACCACCAAGGCTGGATTTTTTTGTATTTTTAGTAGATACGGGGTTTCACTGTTTTAGCCAAGATCGTCTCGATCTCCTGAGGGATTACAGGCGTGAGCCACCATGCCCAGCCTAATTTTTGTAATCTTTTTATGAAAAATATGCAGGGATTCAAATGCAAAGGCTAAGAGATAATAGGCTATGTGTAGTGTCTCACGCCTATAATCTCAGCACTTTGAGAGGCCAAGGTGGGCAGATCACTTGAACCTGACAGTTCGAGATCAGCCTGGGCAACACGGCAAAAACCCGTCTCTACAAAAAATTTTAAAAAAATTAACTGGGTGTGGTAGCATGTGCTACTTGGGAGGCTGAAGTGGGAAGATCACCTAAGATGGGGAAGGTCACTGCAGTGAGCCATGATCATGCCACTGCACTCCAGCCTGAGCAACAGAGTGAGACCCTGTCAAAAAAAAAAAAAAAAAACCAACTCAAAAAAGATTGAAACAGTAAATAACACTATGTAAATTTCAAACCATCGTTAATATTAAGTGTGAAACTTGCTTAATCTGTTTTCATTTACTGTAACTCTAAGGAATTAAACAGATTTTTAGGTATTAACTGCAAAGATTGAAAATTCAGTTCCATGTTCCTGAGAGTCATCAAGTGCTTTAAATAGACTGCTTCACATTTTGTAACATTAACTTACAACTCTTTCCAAATTTATGAATTCTATTTTCTTTTACTCGAAACCACTTTTTCTTCATGGTTTCGTCCCATCAAAACTTACCCTAATGAAAATCATTTACTTTTAAGAGAGACCTAAACGGGACTTTCATGTTAATAATAATTGGTATGTCCTTTAGTCTGCTTTCAGATGCACAATGCAAAACTTAATCTCTGCCTGACTTCTCAAGATTTCTGAAAATGCCACATTCACATACACACACACCACTACCCTCATTAACATTACCACCCCCACCAGTTGTTGTATGTATCTGGCCTATATACTAATACGTGTTTGCTAAACAGAAATTAATCACAAAGTAAATCTAACATAAAATGCATTCCATACTGGGCTGGGCGCGGTGACTCATGCCTGTAATCCCAGCACTTTGGGAGGCCGAGGCGGGTGGATCATGAGGTCAGGAGATTGAGACCGTCCTGGCTAACAGGGTGAAACCCCGTCTCTACTAAAAATTACAAAAAATTAGCTGGCATGGTGGCAGGCGCCAGTAGTCCCAGGTACTCGGGGGACTGAGGCAGGACAATGGCATGAACCCATGAGGCAGAGCTTGCAGTGAGCCGAGATCACGCCACTGCACTCCAGCCTGGGTGACAGAGCAAGACTCCATCTCAAAAAAAAAAAAAAAAAAAAAAAATTTATTCCATACCGTAGAATTATTTCTGGATTACTCACTATATTAGCTGTGTTAATACGTCATCTTTTAATAAATCAGAAGTCGACTATAATTGGTTTTGTTTTTTATTCCATTATATCCTTTTAATGCTGACTGCTGTGTAATCAATCATGGATGTTAACTGGGTTTTGAGAACCCAGTTAACAATCCTTTTTTATTCGAGATTAAAGTCAATCCTTTTTTATTCGGGCATTCTTTTTTTTTTTTTTTGGAGACAGAGTCTCACTCTGTTGCCCAGCCTGGAGTGCAGTGGCATAATCTTGGCTCACCGCAACCTCCATGGTCTGTCAGGTTCAAGCAGTTCTCCTGCCTCAGCCTCTGAGTCAGCCTCCCCAGTAGCTAGGACTACAGGTGTGTGCTACATGCGTGTCTTAATTTTTTATTTTTACTAGGGATGGGGTTTCACCATGTTAGCCAGGAAGGTCTTGAACTTTTGACCTCAAGTGACCCACCCACCTTGGCCACCCAAAGTGCTAGGATTACAGGCGTGAGCCATCATGCCCAGCTGAGGGCATTCTTTTTTTTTTTTTTTAGTGCAGGATCTCAGTCAGTCACACAGGCTGGAGTGTAGTGGTGCAATATCAGCTCACTGCAGCCTCTACCTTTCAGGCTCAAGTAATACTCCTACCTCGGCCTCCCGATTAGTTGGGACCACAGGCACATTCCACCATGCCTGGCTAATTTTTGTATTTTTTATAGAGACGGGATTTCACTGTGTTGCCAAGGCTGATCTCGAATTCCTGGGCCCAAGTGATCCACCTGCCTCCACCTTCCAAAATGCTGGGATTACAGGTGTGAGCTACTGCACGTGGACTCATCTGGGCATTCTTAATTTTGTTTCTTATCATTTCTGGGTTAATTTTTGAAGGAGGTAATAGGTTTTTCACAAAATTTGGTAATAAATAACGTGTGTACCTGAGGCATAATAGACATATCTTTAATTTTATTTTGCTGTTTGATACTTGGCAAAGCTTACAAAGAAACATACTGACAAGGTTTATCACCACGTCTATATTTAATTGTGTCTATCAGCTCCAAATAAATAGATAGGAAGTATAATTTCCTGTCAATTCATTCAGGTTTTTTTAATGTTTTATAGTCATGTTGAATGTGAAATGATCCGGGACAACTGACGTCATCATTGGTGAAGAATTTTGAACACTTGAATCATGCTTAGTTAGTTCTTTAACTAATTATGTGTAACTTCAAAATTGTATCCTGGCACCTTGTTCCTTAACGATCATATGGGGTTTATGAGAAAGGACTTGAAAACCATGAAGTACTAGACATATATAAAGTATTATTTACTGGTTTTAACTAAGAGACCTAGTGTAAGAAAATCTCCTAAGGGAACTGTGACATAGGTTGCCATGTCATTTACATTGACGTTTGGGCTGCAGAATATGGATAATAGATTTGCCTCAGTAAGAACAGTATAGTAGAATGCTTGCTTGTTCAGTGACCTTCAGTTAGCACTTATTGTCTAGTGCTCAAACAAAGATAGCATAGTTTGAGGGGTTATGCTGCTGAGTCAGATCGTCCTTTTTGTCATTTGTATTCTCTCCTTCCTTGTTGCCAGAGTATACTGTAGGATGGTAAAGAACAGTAAAGGGTTGGGGTGAAGTAGTAAGAAAAAAAAAGATAGCATTTCTGTTCTGGAATGAAAGGTACTGTTGGTGTACCATACTAAATATGGATGTTTATCTGTATCATTATATATTTAATAAATTAAAATGTATTCTAACCTGAATTTCATACTTGGATCTAAGTTATTTTGTCATGTTTATTACCAGGAAGAATTAACACAAATTTACTAATTTATGATTCTATTCTTCTAGTTTTCAACATATGATTTCATCCCATCTCCAAAATTAAAGCCCTCTCAAGGAATGCCAGTCAATGATGATTTATGTTTTAGCAGAAAAAGAGTATCAAGAAACTTATTTCAGAATAGTCGGGATTTTAACCCAGATTATCTTCCTTTATGTGCTGCTGGTAAGTACAAATTGCTGATGATGGTCATGTTGAACTAAGTTAGAGACTTCTCTTAATTTCATAGTGCATTCAGAGACTCATAGAACTTTTAATCTAGTAGGCAGTTCGGATTCAATAAGTTATTTATTGAAGATCTGATAAGAATGGACACTTAGACATTATTATCTCATAAAACCCTGGAGGGTTTCTCATTGAAATTGTTTAAGTATTAATATAGGGCAATATTTGCTTAATACATCACCCATATTTATTAAGTATCTCCTATGTGTCAGGTGCTTTTTTAAGTCCTGGGGTTCTGCCTAGTAGAGCTTGCATTCTACTTAGGAACGAGAACAGACATTAAATAAATAGAAGACATAGTAAGTTAGCTGGTGGTAAATGCTATTAAGGAAAACAGAGCAGAAAGAAGGCCATATTCAGGAAAGAATATTTGAAACAAACCACAATATATCAGGAGAAGAGAATAAATAATTTCAGGAAGAGGGAACAGTCAGCACAGAGTAACTAGGAGAGAAGTGTGTGGGGAACATGTTTGAGAAATATCAAAGAGACTAGTATGTCTGGAATGAAATGAGAAAGGGGAAAATAAGTAGAAAATTAAAGACATAATAGGGGTCCTTATTTAAGACCTAGTGGACTTACAAGTGAACTTTACTTTTTACTCTGAATGAGGAGCATTTTGAAGAAAGAATTGACATCACTTACTGTGTTTCCAGGCTCATTTTGGATTTTATTGTTAAAATAGATGAAAGGAGAGTGTATTAGTTTGTTTTCACACTGCCATAAAGACATACCTGAGACTGTGTAATTTATGAAGAAAATAGGTTTAACTGGCTCATGGTTCTACAGGCTGTACAAGCTTCTACTTCTGGGGAAACCTCAAGAAATTTACAATCATGGTGTAAGGCAAAGGGGAAACAAGCATGTCTTACATGGTGGGAGCAAGAGGAAGAGAGTGAAGAGGGAAGTGCTACACTCTTTTAACAACCAGATCTTGTGAGAACTCTTATCTTGAGAATAGCTCCAAAAGGAGAAACCTGCCACATGATCCAGTCACCTCCCACCAGGCCCCACCTACCTCCAACATTGGGGATTACGAATTCAACATGAGATTTGGGTGGGGGCACAAAGCCAAACTTTGTGTATTGGAGAGCAAGGTCAAAAACAGGAAGACTGATTAAGAATCTGTTGTAGTAATCGTGACTGGAGTTGATGGAGGCTTTAACCAGGATAGCAAGAATGTGGTAAGAAGTGATTGGATTCTGGCCGGGCGTGGTGGCTCACACCTGTAATCCCAGCACTTTAGGAGGCCAACGCAGGCAGATCACGAGGTCAAGAGATCGAGACCATCCTGGCCAACATGGTGAAACCCCATCTCTACTAAAAATACAAAAATTAGCTGGGCACGGTGGTGCATGCCTGTAATCCCAGCTACTCAGGAGGCTGAGGCAGGAGAATCTCTTGAACCCAGGAGGCAGAGGTTGCAGTGAGTTGAGATCGCACCACTGCACTCCAGCCTGGGTGACAGAGCGAAACCCCATCTCAAAAAAAAAAAAAAAAGGTGATTGGATTCTGATTTTATGTCAGAGGTAAAGTTGAGGTAGTTTGCTGGTAGATTGGGTATAGAATGTGAGAAAGAAGTGTCACTAATGCTGTAAGGATTTTTGGCCAGAGCAACTGAGAACATGGACTAAGTGTTACAGAAAGTAAATATAGTACTTCAAAGGAAATGCTCATTATCATTGACCATAACATTTAGAAGAAAAAGGAGAGTATAGGAAGAAACTGCCTTTGTGGATATTCGTCAACATACCTGTCTTTATAAATGACCATATCATTTAGAAAGAGGTTGAGGCCAGGCCCATGCCTCATGCCAAGATCACACTACTATACTCTAGGCTGGGCTACAAGCGTGAGACTCCGTCTCAAAAAAAAAAAAAAAAAAAAAAAGGGTTGAGCTTGAGTTCTAAATGATTGTTTAGGATTTCAAGATATAGCACCCAGGTATTTAGAAAAATTGTAGTGTGTTGGCAAAGTGATACTGTTAGAAGGGAAAATGGTTTAGAAGGCAAAGATTTGACTATGTTATAGATTTAAAAATGTATTTAACATCTAAATAACAGTTTTCAAAATTTGTTGGGTTTGAGTTCAGATATATTATTCAGTAAACATTGTTCCCTAGGAGAATTTGTAGACCTTTATGCAGTGAAATTCTATAGTATTTTCATACAAAAATGAAGTGGTATAATGACTGCATAGTTTATTTTGGTGTTTAATAGAGAAGGAGAAATGCAAGAATATGTCCAGTTATGTTTGTAGCAGTTTTGATTTCTCTGTACTATTAAGAAGCTCATTTCCTAGTTGTACAGATTTTAAACAATTGGAGAATAAGGAAATATATAACCTAATGCTCGATTGGATGATATAAATTACAAATACTGTAAGGATTCAAGAAAGGAAAACATAGGTATTGAAGTGGTTTCAGAAAACTGCAGGAAAGAGGTTGAGCTTGACTTTAAATGAGTAAGAGGCTGGGCACTGTGACTCACGCCCGTAATCCCATCACTTTGGGAGGCCGAGGCAGGTGGATCACCTGAGATCAGGAGTTCGAGACCAGCCTTGAATAGCTGAGGCAGGAAGATCACCTGAGCTCAGGGAGGTCGAGGCTGCAGTGAGCCAAGATTGCACCACTGCATTCCAGTCTGGGCAATAAGAGAGAGGCCTGGTCTTAAAAAAAAGAAAAAAAAAAGAAAAGAAAAAGACATCCAGGACATGAAAGATAAAGAGACTTGATATAGTAGGGAGAGAATTTTTTTTTAAATCATACAGTTTCAGAACTACAAAGGATGGGCTCATTTAATAGATGAATACACTAAATGCCAGAGGAGTCATTACCACCTTTTTTTCTTTAGACTTATTCACCTTCCCAGGAATAACCTTAACCAGACACAGGAGGGGAAATGGGAAACGTGTCTGGATAAGCTTAGAATCTACGTGAATACCGTGTGGTATATTAGAAAAGAAAAGAGGTTGCAGTGAGCCAAGATCACACCACTGCATAAAAAAAGTAAAATAGAAAAGAAAAGAGTTTGGCCATAGAGCTTTTTGGGTAGTGCATATACTACAAATACTGGGAAGAAGGAAAGCCAGATCTGGAGAAACATTCCATGCTGAGAGAAAGAGTGTAGGAAGAAGCTGCTTCTGCGGATATTTTTCAACATACCTATCTTTTCCGTTATTTGCTAGTCTGTCTTCTGTCCTTTAACTCCTGCCACTAATCAGATTTTCTAATATCAAAAGCTTTATCCCTTTCTTGCCTGCCTACCTCACTGCACTTATACACTTATATTTATTTCCACCTAAATTGCACTAATATTTATGAAATAAGATGTATTCATGAAATAAAGTTAACTTTTGCTTTTATGTTTTCTCCCCTCCTTTCTTCAAAAGGTACTACTGGGACTCATCAAACAAATCTTTCTGGGAAATGTGCACAACTTGGATTTTCACAATTATGTGGTAAAACTGGCAGTGTGGGTTCTGACTTACAATTCCTAGGGACAACTAATAGTCATCAAGATAAAGGTATAAGTTCCAAATTTACTTGGAAACAAATGATTTGTAAATATTATGTGGGGATTCCGATACTAACTTATATGATATTTTGTGCAATCATACTCATCACAAAAAAAAGGATTTTGTTATATTTTTAATAACTTTTTTCATAATTGTTACCCTAAAGTATTAGGTTTTATAATCTTTATGTAAATACAATGGATTAAAATTAGAGTTTAGATACTCATGGTGGAGATGAGTGTTGCATTTGCTTTAATATATGCATAATAGTGGTACATATATGTGGGCTACATGTGACATTTCGATATACAATGTGTAATGATCAAATCAGGGTATTTAGGATATGCATCACCTGAAACATTTGTCATTTCTTTGTGTTGGGAACATTACAAATATACTCCTGTAGTTATTTTGAAATATAAATTATTGTTAACTCTAGTCACCTTATTATGCTATATTGAGCACTAGATCTTATTCCTTCTTATTTTATTTATTCATTCATTCATTCATTCATTCATTCATTCATTCATTTTGAGATGGAGTCTTGCTGTGTTGCCCAGGCTGGAGTGTAGTGACAGGATCTTAGCTCTCTGCAACCTCCACCCCCACCCCTGAGTTTGAGCAATTCTCCTGTCTCAGCCTCACAAGTAGCTGGGACTACAGGTGCACGCCACCATGCCCAGGTAATTTTTGTATTTTTAGTAGAGATGGGGTTTTACCATATTGATCGGGCTGGTCTCAAACTCCTGACCTCAGGTGATCCACCGCCTCGGCCCCCCAAAGCACTGGGATTATAGTCGTGAGCCACTGTGCCCGGCCTCTCATTTTGTTTTTGTATGCATTAACCACCTTCTCTTTATTAACCCCTTCTCACTGCCCTTGCCAGCCTCTGGAAACCATCATTCTGCTCTCTACCTCCATGGGATTAATTTTTTTTTTCTTTTTTAGCTCCACATAGGAGTGAGAACATGCAATATTTGTCTTTCTGTGCCTTACTTATTTCACCTAAGATAGTGTCCTCCATTTTTATACAGGTTGTTGCAAATGACAGGATTTCATTCTTTCTATGGCTCAGTAGTACTCCATTGTGTATAGGTACCACATTTTCTTTATCTGTTCTTCTGCTGATGGACACTTAGGTTGATTCCATATCTTGGCTATTGTGAATAGTGCTGCAATAAACATGAAAGTGCAAATACCTCTTTGATATACTGATTTCCTTCTTTTGGATATATGCCCAGCAGTGGGATTGCTGGATCATATGGTAGTTGTATTTTTAGTTTTTTGAGGCAGGGTCTCACTCTGTGGCCCAGGCTGGAGTGCAGTGGCATGATCATGGCTCACTGCAGCCTCAACCTCCTGGGCCTAAGTGATCCTCCTACCTCAGTCTCCCAAGTAGCTGGGACTACAGACATGCACTACTATGTCTGGTTAATTTTTAAATTTTTTGCAGAGATGGGATTCCACTATGTTGCCCAGACTAGTCTCGATCTCCTGAGCACAAGCAATCTTGCCTCAGCCTCCCAGAGTGCTAGGATTATAGGTGCAAGTCACCATGCCCAGCACATTTTTAGTGTTTTGAGGAACTTCCTTGCTATTTTCTATAGTGTCTGTACTAATTTATCTTCCCACCAGCGGTGTACAGGCATTCCTTTTTGTTGCCATCCTTGTCACCATTTGTTATTTTTTATCTTTTTGATAAAAGCTATTTAACTGGAGTGATATGACATCTCATTGTGGTTTTGATTTGCACTAGACCTCTACCTTTCACTGTATAGAAAAATCAAATCAAAATGTATTAAAGACTTAAATGTAAGCTGAAGTTATAAAACTGTTAGAAGAAAACATTAGTGAAATACTTCAGGACATTGGTCTGTGCAAAGATTTCTTGAGTAAGACCTCAAAAGCACAGGCTACCAAAGCAAAAATGAACAAATGGGATCACATTGAGCTAAAAAGCTTCTGCATGGCGAAGGAAACCGTCAACAAAGTGAAGATACAGCTTACAGACTGGGAGAAAATATTTGCAAACTATTCCACTGTTGAGGGATCAATAACCAGAATATATAAGGAACTCAAACAATTCAATAGCAAAAATACAAAAATACAATGTGAAAATGGGCAGAAGACCTGAATAGGCATTTCTTGAAAGAAGACATACAAATGTCTAATAGGTATATGAAAAAAATTGCTCAACATCACTAATCATCAGAAAGATGAGCATTTTAATACCAAGTCATTGAAAATAACATCCATTAAAGAGTGTTGTGTTAGCAGATGACAATTATTTTCTATAGCAGTTTTAAATTTTAAGACGATTTAGAATGTATTATGTCTCTTGTTAGGAACCATAACTTCCTAAACGCTTACCTTTCAGATAAGACATCAGATACAGAAGAAGAGGAAGGATTTGAGGCCGGTTATCTGTCAGGAATTTGGGGGTTGAAGGTGTTCTTAAATGTCCATGCTAATTAATAGCTTTAACAATTATTAGATAGAGGTAGGATCAAATTAAATATTTCTTTAGGTATTTTGAATTTTATTGTATGTCCTTTACTAAAATTTTTTTGAGTGATAGGGATATACTTACTTGTTATGAAAAATAATGATTTGAAATTAGTAGAGAAGATTTAGTGTATTTAGCACTAACATTTTAACTACCCTTTCCTGCACTCACCCCAAAGACCCACATAACCCCTTAAAGTTATCCTTTGTGGTATTATCTACACCACAATAAAATAATCCATCTTTCTTAATAATGTGGGTATTTCCTAAATTTTGACTTCTGAATATCTTTGGGACTCATAATTGGTATAATCAGAGAGAGCTTGCTGTGCCACTTAACCTGTTCCTGTTTAGGCTATTCCTGAATGATTACATTGCCTTTGAGGACTATCCACTCTTAGTGTTTAATCATACTGCATAGTGGCTCTGGTTTTCTATTGGAATAGTTATTAGAGAAGCTGGTATAAAGGGATATCATGTTTTTCTGAACCTAATAGAATTTAACTTAATGCTTGGTTATGCATTAAAACCACTACCATATCAACTAATATTTCCCTTGTGATCTCTGAAGGACCTGTGGTATGGATGCCAAACAATATAGATATCTGCATCCCAATTTACATGTTGTAGTGATCCACACTAAGTATTGGAAATTTTAGTGTATGTTGCATTGCATTGTTCTTTTGTATATGCATACTATGATAGGATGTTTGATTTCTTCATAAGAAATATTTTTAAATATCAACTGGGCATGGTGGCTCACACCCAAGGCGGGTGGATCACGAGATCAAGAGATTGAGACCATCCTGGCTAACACGGGTGAAACCCTGCCTCTACTAAAAATTACAAAAAAATTAGCTGGGCGTGGTGGCAGGCGCCTGTAATCCCAGCTACTCAGGAGGCTGAGGGAGGAGAATGGTGTGAAACTGGGAGGCGGAGCTTGCAGTGAGCTGAGATTGCGCCACTGCACTCCAGCCTGGGTGACAGAGCAAGACTGTCTCAAAAATAAAAAAGAAATATTTTTAAATCTCTAGGAATATATGAGACATTGTCATAAAAGCATCAGAACCTGTTAATAGAGCACTGTAATTGAAATGAGGAAACTGAAAGTTTTAATTCTATATGTAAATCTGTGACTAAGTCTCCTATATTTCTCTACCCAGATAAGATTTTGGTATAAGTAGAGGTTTTAACCGTTAGATATGAATTAAAAATAACGGATATATAATATATACAGTTGTTTAAGTCTTCAGAAGAATGTTTGCTTTGTTAATATACATAAGCTAGGTATTTTGTCATGGAAAACCTTTTAAAAAACATTAAAGGAAAATTTAAAGGAACCCCTAAAAGATTACAAATAGACTTTTTATATTAGTTGAAGAATAAAAAGATCAATAAAAGACAAGGAAGAAGTAATAAAGAAAAAAAAACAATAAATAGCACAAAATAAGATAGTAGAATTAAAATCAAATGTATGAATAGTTTCCCTAAGTATAAATTGGCAGAACTTACAACTTAAATGACAGAGGTGATCAGATCTTATTTTTTTAGTTTTTCATTGAAGTGATCTTTTTAAGAGCATTACCTAAAATACATCAAAATAGGTTGAGAGAAAGTAAAGCATGGAAAAGATACACTAGGCAAATGTTCAGAGAAGAGCAAATAGAAACATGTTGATGATAGGGAAAATATGCACACCAAAACTAAAAACATTTTTAGTTCTAAAGAGGGTCATCGTAATGAGAAAAAGAAAATTCACCAAAAAGACAAGACTTCTCTGACATATATATATGTGTACATATACATGTATGTATGTATGTAATTGATAAAATTACAAGGAGAAAATTAATTATAAATGTTTGTACAACATTTTAATGGGATAAAGAAGTTTTGAATTAGAAGACAGAGAATATTTGAATAACACAAATGAAATTAGTCCCTTACCTCATACTATACAAAAATATAAATGCAAATTGGAATGAAAACCTGAATGGGAAAAGCAAAAAGCGAAAAAGCTTTTAACTTTTAGAGCTGTGTATACATAAATAACATATTATCTTTTGTTTTATTACAGTGTATGCTACCCTCAATTTTGGCAGTAAGACACAGCAAACATTTGGTAGTCAAACAGAGTGTACTTCCTCAAACGGTCAAAATCTAAGTCCAGGAGCCTACATCCTTCCATCCTATCCTCTCTCATCACCTCGAACTAGTCCAAAGCATACATCTCTTATTGTATCTCCAAAGAAGTCTCAAGATAATTCTGTTAATTTCTCAAATTCCTGGCCTCTTAAAAGCTTCGAAGGACTGTCAAAGCGAAGTCCGCAGAAGCAGCTTGTCAGCCAAAAATCGTCTGATCCTACAAGTAGAAATGATGGTAAAAGTCAATACTTTGTTCAAATTTATTTGTGTTTGAATTAGTACTTTGAAGTTAATGCATAGGGCTGTTAGATCTTTAAAAGCTAGTAAATAACATTTTATCTGTCTGAATTTAGTAAATATTTAGGAAAATATTTAATAGTTTGTTAAATGGATCAAATGTATAAAATTCAATTGAAATTCTCATTTCTTACATTGCCACTTCAGAATCCTTTTTGGAACCAGGAAAATACTGATACTTTTGTTTGTTTGTTTGTTTGTTTGTTTGTAAATAGAGATAGGGTCCTACTATGTTAACCAGGCTGTTCTCGAACTCCTGATCTCAAGTGATTCTCCCATCCCGTCCTCCCAAAGTGCTGGGATTACAGGCTTGAGCCACTGTGCTGGGCCAGAAAATAATAATGTTTTATAATGAACATGAATAGCATATATTGTTTGAGAACCTACTAACAACTTTACAAATATAAATAATAATGTTTTATAATGAACATGAACAGCATATGTTCTTTGAGAACCTACTAACAGCTTTACAAATATAAAATGTCATTCATATGCTTATTGCAATTAATGCCTGGTATTCATTTATTCAATATTTATTGAATTTTTATTGTATGTTAAAATTAATTTGAAACTTTTTTTTTTGAGATTGAGTTTCGCTCTTGTTGCCCACACTGGCAACTTCTACCTCCCGGGTTCAAGCGATTCTCCTGTCTCAGCCTCCTGAGTAGCTGGGATTACAGGCATGCGCCACCACATCTGGCTAATTTTGTATTTTTAGTAGAGATGGTGTTTCTCCATGTTGGTGAGGCTGGTCTCAAACTTCCGACCTCAGGTGATCCGCCCGCCTCAGTCTCCAAAGTGCTGGGATTACAGGCCTGAGTTACCGTGCTCGGCTGAAACATTTTTTATTATTTGTTGTAAACTAAAATATTCTTTTCTTAACAATAACCCAGTCCAAAAATCATGAAATTAGCATATGTAAGTTCATTCAGGACACATTCAGTCTTAAAATAAAAAGTCGACTGAGCCTAGTGGGTCATGCCTATAATCCCAGCACTTTAGGAGGCCGAGGTAGTTGGAGATGAGTTTAAAGATGTTTCACCTTTAAACTACCCTACAAGTCCAGTGTTCGATTTATCACATATTCAGTCAATTTTATTACTTTCTCTTAGCGCTATACTTTGATTATCTTCTATTAATTCCTTTCTATATTTGTTTATTGTACAAGATCAAATATTATATCAGAAGCTGAGGCTTTAGGGAGCCTGTTCTCCCCAGTGGCCAGCTATAATGTGCTTTTTTTTTTTTTTTTAAACATTGTATTTTAAACATTTGTGACTGTAACTCCTTCTTCTCTAAAATTAAAAAAAGAAAAAGAAAAAGTAAAATATCTATTTTTCATGCAGGAGAAAATTCTCAAGAAAAACCTCCAGTTCAGCTTACACCTGCCTTGGTGAGATCACCATCTTCCCGACGAGGCCTAAATGGAACAAAGCCTGTTCCTCCCATACCAAGGGGAATAAGCCTTTTGCCTGATAAAGCTGATTTAACCACAGTGGGACACAAAAAGAAAGAGCCTGATGATATTTGGAAGTGTGAAAAAGATAGTCTTCCAGTTGATCTTTCAGAATTAAATTTCAAGGATAAAGATTTGGATCAAGAAGAGGTTAGAACCAAATATTTTTAATGACTTAAAAATATTTGCAATTTTCTATATTATAGTTGCTATTTAAGGAAAAATCAAGTTCTTTTTATCCTGTAATATCTTATTTCTAAAATATGTTATTTCTAAAAATATGTTCATTATAGAAAATGTGGAAAATACCATGAATTATTAGAAAGGGAATTTATCACGCCGGTTCCCACTACCCAGAATAATTTACTGTTAACTCTACTGTATTTTCTTCAAGTATTTTTTCTATGCATACATTATTCCTTTCTAAATTGAAAGTATGAATAATAATATAGCAATACACTCATGCACTGACCCCTTCCAGTGAACAATTTGTCATATTTGTTTCCTTTATTAAGGAAATGAAACATAGCATAGTTCTCTCCCCAGTTCAACATCTCTTCCTTCTTCACCAGAAGCAATTACTATTATCATTTATTTATGTTTTATGTATTTTTGTACTTTTTATATTAATATTATTTTGTGTATTTACTTATGGTGTATTTATACCATTGATTTTAGCTTATGATCAGTCTTTTGCAGTTGCAAACAGTGAACTGCAATGAACATATTTGAACCTGTCCTTTGTGCATATGTGCAAGCTTATCTTTATGAAATTGAGATCATATTGTACACTCATCTTTGAATCCTAGATCACTTTGTGCTGTAAAAATGTGTTACCAATATGATAACTGTACATAATAACTATGTCAGAGAAGGAATGTGGTTGCTGTATTACTTTGGTTTCAGAGTACTATTTCCATAAATGCCTCCTTTTTATCATTTCAGTTTGCCTCAGGTCAGATTAAAAAAAAGTTTTATATTAAATATATAAATGCAAATAATGATGATATTTTACGGTCTTGTGTTAGTCTGTTTTTAAGGTATAAGCATCAATCATGTAATGATAATTTGCTCAATAAAATAGAGTTAATATTACTGTATATTCATTTTTAAAGTATGTCTTTATGTTAAACACATGTAAAACTAACCTATAAAGTACCAAAGTTGGTTGTTAATGATTTAATCACTCCAACTTCTAACTGCTTGTGAAATCCTTCCTTTTTTTTTTCCCCAACACATTTGTATTTTAGCAGTGCTAGGAAGGGAATTCATTTGAAGGGAAGACGCATATAGAAAAGACATTTTCCTATATAACTTATAAATTTCACCTGATCATACATAATTTTGCTTTGTTTTTATAATAACTTAAAAATAGTTCTTTTTTTAGTGGGTAATTGAAAGGTGAGTTTCTTTTATGTAATTATTAGTAAATACAGGAGGATACCATTGCTTTTAGATATTCAGCTTTTCACGCTTTTAATAGAGAAGTGGCCCTACTACTGAATCAACTAGTATAGTTGTTGAAAATTACTTATTCTCCCTTATAGTTGCTAATATGACACTTCTTATTTATTATTTTGAATGAGTCACTGTTTATATTCTTTGGTGTGAGTTGACTTTTAACAAAGGCATAAGTGCTTAATGTGTTTAATAATGTATCAAACACTTTCATTTTCATTAATTCATTTAATCTTTACAGTAACTCCTTGAGTTAATAAGCAAGTCAACATCTGTTTTGTTTTTTGTTTGTGTGTGTGTTTGTTTTTACAGAAGGGGCTCAGTGATGTTATCTGTCTTGCTCAGGGTCAGAAAGTAAGTGGCAGGACTAGGATTCAAGCCTTGTTCACCTACCTTTATGTTCATTATGTTTTTCACTGTACTACACTGCCCTAAATCCATTAAAGGGGCTTTTTATTGAATTTGCCTTCCAACTATGAAGACTTAAGATATTTATGGATGTTTGCATTAATTGAAAACAGATACTTTCATTAAATGATTAATCTTATGAATCAAATGTAAACAAAGCAGTTTATGTATGTTTCTGTGTTCCTTAATTTGTTCAAAGTTTTGTTGCTAGCCTTACTATATTTTGCCATAACAATTTCTACTCTGGATTTCTTTCTTTTTTTTTTTTTTTAAAGACAGAGTCTCGCTCTATTGCCCAGGCTGGAGTGCAGTGGTGCAATCTTGGCTCATTGCAACCTCTGACTCCCGGGTTCAAGCGATTCTCATGCCTCAGCCTCACAAATAGCTGAGACTACAAGTGCCCACCCCCACGCCCAGCTGCATTTCTAAAAATATTTGGCTTCAGAAGTTACGTACAATGATCTGTAATTTTAATACTTGCAAGTTTTATGTAAATGTCAAATTTTTGAAAATTGATTTTCATTAATCACCTCCCAGAGCTAGCTTCTAAGCCACATCAGCACACCAGATGTACCTCTGTGACATCAACTCTGATATCTACCATCTGATTCAATGATTCATTTATTACATAATTGAATTAATGCAATATATTTAGTCATTATGCCCAGTGCTGAAGATACCATAATGAACAATAGCTGAGATTCTTCCTCTCTAGGAGCTTCCAACCTAGTAGGTTTTTTATAAATACCCAAGTGATAAAATCTGTGTATTTATACTATATACATATATATAAACATTCATTTTTTTTAGCACGGGATTGGGAAGTGGTTAGCTAGGTATAGCCAATGGAGTATAAAATTTAAGGATAACTTGTACCAATATAAGGAATTTATGTTATAAAGTTTATTGTTTTCATTTTTTCTTAGATGCATAGCTCTCTTAGGTCCCTTCGTAATAGTGCAGCTAAGAAAAGAGCAAAACTAAGTGGCAGTACTTCAGATCTTGAAAGCCCTGATTCTGCAATGAAGCTCGACTTGACGATGGACACCCCGTCTCGGTCTTCCTCACCAAACATCAGTTCTTACAGTGAAAGTGGAGTCTACAGCCAAGAATCATTGACTTCTTCTCTGTCTACAACTCCCCAGGGGAAGAGAATAATGTATTTTATTTTTTGACATGATAAATGAATGCTCCTCTGTAATTAGTGATTTAGAGCCCTAATATCATATTTGTAAAAACTTAAAACCATTTATGTTTTAGTTTTTAAATGTTAAAATATATTTAAAAGACATTGGAAACGTTTACAGATATTACCTTGCTTGGCTTTGGTTTCTGGTGTGAGTGGAAAGAGAACACAACCCCAACTGTAAACCAGAACACCTAAATTAGTATAAACCCTGTTCCTAAAGCCCTAGTTGTTCTTTCTGTCTAAGATTTATCCTAATGTTTTTTGTCCTTTAGCTCTTTTCTGGATTATTGACTCTTTTGCCAATTGATCTATAGCTAATATTACTGCTTTCATTTTAAGCTTAGTACCAGTTTCCTCTAATTTATGAATAAGTTTCACCCAGCTATTATTTTCTTATATCTTATTTCCATTATCTTGTAGAAGCTCAGGATTTCATTTCATACTATAGCTCTCATAGCCTTGTTAGGAGTCTCCCTACAGCAATAGTGCTGGACTTAAAGTTCTGGCCACCTCCTGTCAATCGAAAATTGTTTTTCAGCATAGCAATTGGACTAACTTTTTCAGATTAATTCTATTACCTCTAAGTCTTAAACCTTAACCTCACTTAACTGATAAGTGATCTCAAACTGCTTTCTGGGCATCTCTGTGACTACTGTAGGATTTTGGGAATCCCTTCCTCTTTTATTTTGGACAAAAACCTGGTAATAGAATTGATAGGGCACAGAGTAGATGTATATTTAACTTTTTAAGTAACTGCTAAACAGTTTTCCAAAATGATTGTGTAACTTTACACTCCTACCAGCTACGTGTGAGAGTTATACTTGTTTTACATTCTTGCTAACATTTGGTGTTGTCAGTCTTAAATTTTTTTCCTTTGTTTTCATCCTGAACCAGAAGTAAATATTTAAAATTAAAATTAATTTCACTTTAGTGAATTGGAATTTTTTTTTTTTTTTTTTTTTTTTTGAGACGGAGTCTAGCTCTGTCGCCCAGGCTGGAGTGCAGTGGCCGGATCTCAGCTCACTGCAAGCTCCGCCTCTCGGGTTCACGCCATTCTCTTGCCTCAGCCTCCCGAGTAGCTGGGACTACAGGCGCCCGCCACCTCGCCCGGCTAGTTTTTTTGTATTTTTTAGTAGAGACGGGGTTTCACCGTGTTAGCCAGGATGGTCTCAATCTCCTGACCTCGTGATCCGCCCGTCTCGGCCTCCCAAAGTGCTGGGATTACAGGCTTGAGCCACCGCGCCCGACCGTGAATTGGAATTTCTAAGAAATATAGGTAAATAGAGATTGCATAATCAAAGGAGAGGTAGTGTTCTAAATAGATCATAATGTTTTATTCCAGCAGTTCATAGAATTAAACTGAATTCTTGTGTTCCATTCTTAGAAGTTTGTCTCAGCCTATTATTTTTTCCTATACATTTTTAACTTAAATAGCAGCTTGTTTTGTACTTGGAAATTTTATCTTTCAACAGTTGCTTTGTTGTCATTACCTAGGTAGAATAATACATATATTGACAAAATGAATTTGGAATAACAGCATGGTCTGGTGTTTATATTAAGTTATAAAACAAAATATATTTTTAGCTTTTAGAGCTAAAGTCCTTTTATGATCTTCCATGAAGATGAAAATTTATGTTATATAATCCTACAGTTGCAAGGTTGTGTAAATAATTTGAAACCTACTTAAGAAGAAAAGTTCATTTTATATGATTTGAATATATGATGTCCTATATTTTCTCACTGAGTTATCTTCTTCAGATACTGAATTCTCTGAGAAGGTAGTTCAGCACACCCTCATTTATGGACTGAATTGCCTTTAACAAATTTAAGATTTCCACATTTAAGAATAGTGGCTTTAGAACAATTATACTTATCCAGCTTGCATCCTGCTTTAAGATTCATGGCCAAAGAAAGCCTCTACTACCTGATTTACACATTTTGTCCTTAGGTGGGTTGGGGAGGAAAAATTGTTGAAAACCACTCTCCTAGAGACTGAAATTTCTTCTTTCATCCAAGTCAACTACACTTAATATAAATGTAGATTTATAGTAATCTATTCTAGAGAAATTGCTCTTTCAAAATATTTAACAACGATTTTTCACTAGGTCCACTCACAAATATATTTCTATCTATTTACTAAGAATTGTACTTCTTTGTAAAAATCTCTTCTTTTTAATATTCATTACTAACTTATTGACATTATAACACTTACTGATTTAAAACAGTTCCCTTAAACTCAGATTTAACAGTCTTCAGTTGGCTTTCTTAATGAAACAAGGCCTATAGGTCTTTATAATGTCAGGAAAGTACAGCAAAGAATAGTTTAAGAAGAAAGTGGCATTTGCCAAACTCACTCGTTGCTGATCTCTTATTTATAATACAGCCAAGTCTCTATTAATTTATGTTATCCTATATGAGGATAGATAGTAGTTATTAGATAAGAATGATTTGATTTGTTATTTTTATTTATTTTTGAGACAGGGTCTCACTGTGTCACCTAGGCTGGAGGGTAGTAGCTCAGTCTCAGCTCACTGCAACCCCTGCCTCCTGGGCTCAGGTGATCCTCGGCCTCTGTAATAGTTGGGACTATAGGTGTGCACCACCATGCCTGGTTAATTTTTTAGTTTTTTTGTAAAGATGGAATTTTGCCATGGTGCCCAGGCTGGCCTCAGACTTCCTGGGCTCAAGTGATCTTCCTGCCTTGGCCTCCCAAAATGCTAGGATTACAGGCATGAGCCACCACACTTGGCCTTGATTTGGTTTTAGAATGGATTCTTGGATCCGTTTTTTTTTTTTTTCCTTAGGGATTATACAGTATAAGTCAGAGAGTCATTTTCTGTGGCAATCCTCTCATGAATAATTAAGAATTGACCATATGTTAAAAAGGTTGGCAGTCCAAAAGATGAATTAAGAATAATATATATATACATGTATGTGTGTGTATATATATACTGTTAGCCATATTTTTTCAAGTGTCATACTTACTGCTCCCTTATTATCTAAAAGTTCTGTGAGTTAATAAGGAGAATAGAGAATATGTGATGTGAGTATTGAACAGCACTAAATCTTAATGTTTATTGAAATTACTTTGTTTCATTGTAGGTCAGACATATTTCCAACATTTGGGTCAAAACCTTTTCCAATAAGACTTTCTTCTGCGAAGAAAAAAATTTCTCATATTGCTGAACAAAGCCCCAGTGCAGGTATTCTATGTCTGTTTATAAACATAATTTATAAAAAGTATGATTTTCAAATGATGTAAAAAATGATAGCAAGTGCATTTCAGATTTCATGTTGTTGTGGATACCAGTTAAGACTAATCATTTTTTTTACTCCTTAAAAGATCCTTTTGACAAGAATATGATATTGTTTTGGAAGAAAAAAATATTTATTTACCTGAATCACTGATCTCTTTTAAAGCTCATTGGCATACCTATGGCTGGCTCCTACCCCCAGATTTTTTATGTAGTTGGTGTGGAGTGTTACTTAGTTGGTGTTGGCTGTCAGAGTTTTGAAAACTCCTCAGATGATTCTAATGTGAAGCATAGTTTGGGAACCACTGGACATCCCGAAAGACAATTTTCTTTAAAAACAATATTTAACTATTAGCAGTAGTTAAATTCATGTGTATCTTGTGTTAAGAATTTTTGTGAACTAAGCCTGTAAGTCTCTAGTTTTATAACATCACTTCTCAGAAAATAGATTTAGTAATTAGTCAATTAGAAAAAGATTTGCACTATGATCTGTTTAGGGTGAGAACTGCATGTGATTCTTAGGATTAGTGAAACTACATTGAATTGTGAATAAATTGTAACAAATTGGGATATGATGTTAAGTTTCACGTGATCTAATGTAAAAGTCCTAACAACTTTAAGGCTGCTTTACATTATAATTACCTTCCTAAAAAACTGTACATATATTTGATTATTTGGTAAGATTTTAAATTTCTTGCTCTTAAATGTGTCTTAATCTCAACCCCTCTTTTTAATCCCCACTACCATGGCTTTAGTTCACACTTTTCCTTATTTATTACCTACTTAGCCTCCTAAGTTTTCTCCCAGCTTCGATTTCACTCACTTTGACACTGTTCCCCACAGTGCAAATCTGACTATATTGGCCAGCCTGAATTCATTCTGGACATCCTTTCATGATCTGGCCCCTGCCTACTTCTCCAGCCTCATTTTTCACTGCCCTCTTTGTATCTTGTATTTTCCCTGTTTGTATCCAGCTGAATCAGACCACCATCAGTACAATTTCCTATCTCTTTGCAATTGCACATACTGTTTTTTCTGGATGAAATCTAGAATCCATACTATACCCTATTTAGCTGTGAAAACAGCTCAGTTGCTTTCTCTGGGAAACCTTCCCTAATTCACAAACAAGATTATTACCTCTTTTGTTATACCATTACATCTTGCACTGACACCTTTTGTAATGATACTACCATTGCTTTACTTTTCTTCAACTCTCAGATTCTTGATCCTCGAAGATTATTTCCCGCTGATTACCTACCAAGGCTTATCATAATTGGGAATGTGTGACTTAACCAGGTGTGTTTCATATACTGGCTTGCATAAAACTAGCGTTAACAAAGAGATAGCTGCACTTCTATGCATGCAAAGACAGTATATACGTGCTTTGGAGTCCAAAAGATGAGCTGACACCCTAGTTTGATGTTTAATAATAGTATTCATACCTTACACAAGTTACTTAACTGCTTTGGAACTTTGTTCCTTCATCTAACAACATAAACCTTGAGAAGGGTAGTGAAAATCTAAGTTCGTGACATATATAAAGCAGCTAGTGCATAGTAGGCACTCAATATGTATGTGTCCTCTAAGGGGAGAGAGTGACCCAAAGAAATACATAAACTTATCCTTAATCCTTTTTCAGGCTGATCTTCCTAATCTATAATTTTTCAAGTATTTCTATAAAATCGAGGAGATATCTGATTTCTAGGTCATATCTACTTTGTAAAAATGGAACCCACTTTTGGAAGAATATCTTTGGAAATGGAAAATAATAGATTTTTAAAACCTGGATTTGAGTTCCCTTGTGACCCGAGTCGTGTGACCTTGGGAGTCATTTAAGTTTTAGCAGTGTGATAGATCTCGTAATAGTATAATACATACTTATATATGCAATATTTAGTGTTTTCCAAAGTTGCCTAATCTTTTTTTTTTTGAGTTGGAGTCTCCCTCTGTCACAGAGGCTAGAGTACAGTGGTGTAATCTCGGCTCACTGCAAGCTCTGCCTCCCGGATTCACGCCATTCTCCTTCCTCAGCCTGCCAAGTAGCTGGGACTACAGGTGCCTGCCACCACGCCTGGCTAATTTTTTGTATTTTTCGTAGAGACAGGGTTTCACTGTGTTAGCCAGAATGGTCGTGATCCGCCGGGCTCAGCCTCCCAAGAAAGTTGCCTAATTTTAGGAATCACCCTTAGTGCATGTAACATCTGTTGATTCTGGGGCATCATCTTATGCCTCATGAATTCATCTTTCTGGTTAGAAATCTGTATTTTTAACAAGTAAATTAGGTATTTCTAGGATCAAGTTTTAGAAATACTACTGTTATTGAATTCACTATATTAAATTTAACCTTTTCTCAAAATAAGTTGCTAATGTTTTGGATTTTATATATTTGGGTTTGCTTTGCTTTCAGTAAATAAGTGATTCCCACAAATTTATTGTGGTTTAATTGGTAAAACATAAAAATGATAATGCTCAGAATAAAGACTATTGGACAATAAACACAAAAATAACAATTATTTTAAAATTCCACCTATAGTCTGCCACTACCTATTAAAGCACATTGTGCTAAATTTTCTGAATGATGTTATAATAAACTTCTTCTAGTATATTAAATTAGTTTTGCCTATTAATAGAAAACATTTCCACCCAAAGCCAGTATGTTTATGGGTCTTATTTTATGAATTAACTGTCAAGACTAAGAATTTGTAAAGATATGTGTGTTACTTCCACAAATTCTCTATGATTTAATATCGGATATTCTTGAAACTTTTCTCTATGAACTTACTTAGTGCCCTTTATTCTACAGTCCTTTCTAGCCCCGTTTCCCTAGCTACCTCCTCTTCCCACCTTCCTGTTTTTATTCAAATACAACATTATTTTTTTAAAGTATATTTCACCGGGCACAGTGGCTCACACCTCTAATCCCAGCACTTTGGGAGGCTGAGGCAGGTCAATCACTTGAGCCCGAGAGTTTGGGACCAGCCTCGGCAGCACGGCAAAACCCCATCTCTATCAAGAAAATTTAAAAATAGCTGGGAATGATGGTGTGCGCCTGTAGTCCCAGCTATTCAGGAGGCTGAGGCAGGAGAATTGCTTGAGCCCAGGAGGCTGAGGCTGCAGAGAGCCAAGACAGCGCCACTGTACTCCAGCCTGGATGACAGAGCAAGAGCCTGTCTCAAAAAAAAAAAAAAAAAAAAAAATTATATATATATATATACACACACACACACATATACACACATCATTATTGCTTAATAGTTTACATTGGAGCTACATATAAAAATGGACAATGACTCAAATATATAATACCTAGGATTTTGCATTTAGTGTATGTTTTATGGTTGTAATCGCTGCAGAGTATTCATAAAGAGTGATTAGTTTAAACATTCAAATGTAAATTAAAATTTTTGTTATTCAGTAGAAGGAGGCCTACATTAAGGTTTTGCTTTTTTTTTTTTTAAATTACAGATATAATAACATTTGGGTACTTAAAATGTGTTAGGCACTGTGCTGAACCCTTTACATGTATTTTCTTCATTTCATCCTAACAACAGTTGTAGAAGAGGTACTGTTGTCTCTGTTTCACAAGTAAGGTTAAGTGACTTGTCCAGGTCTTCTCAGCAGTTTGAGTCACAGTGCTATAATTTAAAGCCAGGAAACATGATTCCAGATACTGAGCTCTGTATCCCTATGTAGTTTACTGTCTCATCAGTGAGGCCAGTATGGAAGGTTAAATTTCATGGTGACTTACCTTTTAAGATTGAATATCTCTAAATCAGAATCTTCCCTAAGCATACCAATAAAGAAAAATTACTGAGTCTTCTCAGTTTTCAGATTTTTCATTTTTCATGGGAATAGCAGAAAAGAGAGAAATGGGGAAATAGGTAGCTCTTAGGTCACATTTTTAAAATTCTGGATTAAAAAAAATTTGTTTTTAGTGTAAAGTTAAAGGTGTCCATTAAAAAAAAATACTTGTCAGGCCAGGCACAGTGGCTCACACCTATAATTCTAGGACTTTAGTAGGCTGAGATGGGCCGATCACTTGAGCTCAGGAGTTCGAGACCAGTCTGAGCAACATGGCAAGACCGTATGTCTACAAAAAATACAAAAATAAGTTGGAGGTGGTGGCATGCACCTTTGGTCCCAGCTACTAGGGAGGCAGAGGTAGGAGGATTGCTTGAGCCTGGGAGGCAGAGGTTACAATGATCTGGGATTTTGCCACTGCACTCCAGCCCAGGGAGACCCTGTCTTAAAAGAAAAAAGAAGCCGGGTGCTGTGGCTTATGCCTATAATCCTGGCACTTTGGGAGGCCAAGGCAGATGGATCACAAGGTCAGGAGTTCGAGACCAACCTGACCAAAATGGTGAAACACCATGCTGGGATTACAGGCATGAGCCACTGCGCCTGGCCTACACCAGTGAATTTTTTAATTTTAATTTTTGATGGAGGCGGGGGCTTGCTTTGTTGTCCAGTCTGGCCTTGAACTACTGGGCTCAAAGAATTCTTCTGCCTTGGCCTCCTAAAGTGCTGGGATTACAGATGTGATTCACCATACCTGGCCTAATTATAATTTTAAAGCCTATTTTATGAAATGTTGTAGTATGGTGTATAATAAATGTTCTTAGCTGCTAAGAACAAGGACAGGGAAAAGTATTATATAATTTAAAATAGGATAAAACTTCAAAAAGTACTATAATGTTAGAGTTCCTAATATTATGTTACTTACCTTTTTAAAAGGTTAGAAGTTGAGATAGGTTTGGGGGGAGATATGTACCTATGTGTAATATTACTGGAATCATTCAAATATTTTAAAGGGTTTACAACATCCAGTGTAAGCATAATTGGTCAACACATGAACTATAGGTTTGGGTGGTGATTCTGAAGACAATAGGTCACTTGATATTTCATCTAGTGCATTAGAAATACAAAATAAACAATACCCAAGACATTGT